TATCCTCTTTTGGCGACGCACAGAAAGTGAGAATTAAAAAAAAGCATATTTCCTAATGGTTCCCACACAGCGACTACATTTCCGCGCCCCTCAAATCCACCGCTGTAGAGAATATTTCATGAAAATGCTTTGACATAAAATATTGGACACATATAAATCCCATCTCTTTGTTTAACAAAGAAAGAAATGAGCGAGTGTTGTAAAAAAGTGCCACTTAAATAAATTTGACCAAGACTAGACACATTACTGTCTGAGAATCTTCTGTACTCTTGTAAAAAAGATGGAGACGTGTGTGTGTGTGTGTGTGTGTGTGTGTGTGTGTGTGTGTGTGTGTGTGTGTGTGTGTGTGTGTGTGTGTGTGTGTGTGTGTGTTTGTGATATAGTTGCAATATAGACACGCAAGCGGAGTCGCAGGGGTGAAAAAGCATTGACTTTGGACAGGGCAGCGGAGAGAGAGAGAGAACTGTGATCGCAAAGCAGAGGAGGAAGAAGAGGAAGAGGAGGAGGGGGCAGCACACCGCCCATCTGCAGCCAATAACAATCCAGCAGAGTGACCAGGCTATCCACGCCACGCCACCGTAGCACCAATACGACCGCGTCCGACTCTCACTCTCCTCCAGTGAGTGCCCTGCCAGCCAATCCAGCGCCCAAATTCAACCGCGGCCCCCGATACCCCGGCCTTTCAGAGCCGCGAGCAGCCGCATGTGACCTGTGTGGGAAAAGAGCGGCAGAAATGTAGAAATCTCCACTCACCTCAAAGCAAATAGTGTCAAATCCCGGTGTATAGACTGCGTGTGTTACATTGGCAACGCGCTAACGACGGCTCTCCTCTCTTTGTTCCATGCCTCCTCCCCCTCCTCCCCCTTCGCCTCCTCCCCCTCCTCTTCCTCTCCGCCATTTGTGTTTTTGTGCGTCTTGAACGAGCAGGTAGATGACAAGGCGCGTCGATAAGTGCGCGTGTGTGTGCGTGCGTGTGTGTGTGTTAATATTGTATATTTAGAACCTTGTAAATCCCCCCCCCCCCCCCCCCCCCCCTCTGTGCTCAGACCATAGACCGTAAGCGTGGGCACAGCAGAGGCCCTGCAGGCTCCACTCAGGTCAAGTTAGCGATCAGCAGTTGTTTCCTGGAGATGCTGCCACCGTTCTGCATGTGTTGAGGAATTTCACAGCCTCCAGACGCAGACTTGGGAGGGCCACGGGCTTCATGTTTGCTCACATAAAGACAATTATATGTAAAATAATGATAATATCTGTCTATGCCTAATTGAATCAAAATCAGAATTCTGTGTATTTCCATTGTATGTGACAGACCAGAGAGAGAGACCAGAGAGAGAGAGAGAGACAGAGAGAGAGACCAGAGAGAGAGAGAGAGACAGAGAGAGAGACCAGAGAGAGAGAGAGAGACAGAGAGAGAGACCAGAGAGAGAGAGAGACATAGAGAGAAAGATCAGAGAGAGAGACCAGAGAGAGAGTCCAGAGAGAAAGACCAGAGAGAGAGAGAGAGAGAGAGAGAGTCCAGAGAGAGACCAGAGAGAGAGACCAGAGAACGACCAGACCTAGAAAGTAAGCTTTTCCTGGTGTTTCATATGATGTTTTCTGCAGGAGTCAGACGTCACAGGTGTTGTAGGGCATGAGTATGGATGAACATGAGGCTCCAGAAGAAAGAAGACAACAGAGGAATGATGAAAGTCCACAACCTTGTCTGTAAACGTGTGTGGTGTGTAAACGTGTGTGGTGTGTAAACGTGTGTGTAAACGTACATGAACGTGTCTGCAGCTGTGGAGCCGTTTGTGTTAACGTTGAGGTTGTGTCCTGCGTCAGTCTACATGGCACAGCGGTCCTGATGAATCACATCCAGAGCCTGAAGCTGAAGACCGTCAAAATATGTGGCCTTTTGGCTTAACCACCGCATTTCTATTCTTCTATTTAAGAAACAAGAAGACAATAATTTGTGTGCATTCAAATCTATATATGTTCAAAACCAAACAGTACAATAAAATACAACAAATCAACTTTTTAAAAACGTGTTTTAAGAAATGTGTATCTTTTGTTATTAAAGTAGCAATATGTAAGATTTTCATGTCAAGTCATCGTTAAAGATGCAGTCAGTGATTATTTGGGAAAAATTGTGGGAAAACGTCCCTAAACACTAAAAGTATCAAGTTCTCATGTGTTTTCAAATAGTAATGGAATTGACCAAATGCCTGTTGTCTACAAAAATTAATAAAACATATTATGGAGCAACCGATAAAAATAAACCAATGGGATTCGTTTACCCCCTTCACCCTCTTCCTGTTTCTCAGAGTGCACCCGAGTTATCAGATTTTCTAAAACCTAAAAGGGCTGAACAGAAAATGCCAATTTCAGTTTTGCCACCCACTCTCCCTGTTATGACAAAGAAAAGAAAATGCTGGATGTTTGGTTTGGTGGAGAGGGAGGGGAGGGGGTGTGGTTTCCAGATGGTGCTACGGCTAACAAAATCGTTTACTGCACCTTTAAATGGCCAAACTGTCAACAAAAGGCATTAATAAAACATGTTCTTTTCAAATACTTCTTTAACTGATAACAGTAGTTCCGAGAGCCCATGATCCGGGCGACAGAACTCACCGCGTGGAGCTAATCTCACTGGTAAAGTACCATGTGGCACAGAACTAAAAAAGGTCTCGTTATGATTCTCAAATCATTAACGACAAAACAAGAAATAAAACCAGGATTTCTATCTTTGTGAAAAAGGTGTTGGTTATAGATTTGTTGTTGACAAAACTCTTGTCTATTCAGCTGTTATGGTCCCAGCTGGATTCTTCTGCATATCTGGCAACCTGAGTCAGGGAGAGTGGGAGAGGCTGCAGTACCACTTTTGGACACATGTTTACATACTGCTCCTTTAATGTTACAACTATATTATTATTATTATTATTATTATTATTATCAATATTATTATTACTACTACTTCGATTGTTATTAGTAGTTGTAATAAGTATTTTATTTCCTATTTTAATAACTTTATTGACAACTCGGTTCCGTTGTCTGTAACGTCACCAGGAAGTAAAGCGTAAACACGGGGGAAACTCAAACTCAGACCCAGAACTCGGATAACTCACGTGAAAAGCTGTTTTTTAGACTTCCACACGCTCCAGCGGCCTGTGTCTGTGTGTGCAGCCGCTCTTCTGACACTTTGGTCCCGGTACGTGATGAGCGAGGGTCCGCCAGTGTCTCTGCGGGGGAAGTGAAGCCATGGACGGGCGTTTAGTGAAGGAGAACCCGCTGCTTCTCCCCATGAACCGAAACAAGACTGTTTATGATGGATTCATCACTGTCCAGGTAAGAACCAGAGAGACCAGAGAGAGAGACCAGAGGGAGACCAGAGAGAGACCAGAGAGAGACCAGAGGGAGACCAGAGAGAGACCAGAGAGAGAGAGACCCGAGAGAGACCAGAGAGAGACCAGAGAGAGACCAGAGAGAGACCAGAGAGAGACCAGGGAGAGACCAGAGAGAGACCAGAGAGAGACCAGAGAGAGACCAGAGAGAGACCAAAGAGAGACCAGAGGGAGACCAGAGAGAGACCAGGGAGAGACCAGAGAGAGACCAGGGAGAGACCAGGGAGAGACCAGAGAGAGACCAAAGAGAGACCAGAGGGAGACCAGAGAGAGACCAGGGAGAGACCAGAGAGAGACCAGAGAGAGACCAGAGGGAGACCAGAGAGAGAGAGACCAGAGAGAGACCAGAGAGAGACCAGAGGGAGACCAGAGAGAGAGAGACCAGAGAGAGACCAGAGAGAGAGAGAGAGACCAGAGAGAGAGAGACCAGAGAGAGACCAGAGTTACTACTTAAAGCTGGGGTACTTAACTTCTTGTAAAAGTATCATGTTCAAATCAGACTCGATACAAATACATATGTGTATTACATATTACAAATATGTTATACATATTTATTTGCATACACATATGTATTTGTAATACTGTAATACTAATGAAGTACTTTGATGTTACTGCTGTCGAAGCTGAGGATGTGATGTACTGTTTTACAGGATCAGGATTTCAGACTCAGGGTCCTGCTGCCCCCAGACCGACAAATCAAACAGGCCAAGTACTACACTACTGTACTACACTACTGTACTACACTACTGTACTATACTACTATACTACACTAGTATACTACACTACTGTACTACACTACTGTACTACACTACTGTACTATACTACTATACTACACTACTGTACACAACTACTGTACTATACTACTGTACTATACTACTGCACTATACTACTATACTACACTACTGTACTACACTACTGTACTACACTACTGTACTATACTACTGCACTATACTACTGCACTATACTACTGCACTATACTACTATACTACACTACTGTACTACAATACAGTACTACACAACTGTACTATACTACTGTACTATACTACACTAGTATACTACACTACTCTACTACAATACAGTACTACACTACTGTACTATACTACTGTACTACACTACTGTACTACACTACTGTACTACACTACTGTACTACAATACAGTACTACTGTACTACACTACTGTACTACACTACTACACTACTGTACTACACTACTGTACTACACTACTGTACAACACTACTGTACTACACTACTGTACTACACTACAGTACTGTACTACTGTACTACAGTACTGTACTACTGTACTACACTACTGTACTACACTACTGTACTACACTACTATACTACACTACTGTGCTACACCTACACTACTGTACTGTACTATACTACACTACAGTACTGTACTATACTACACTACAGTACTGTACTACAATACTACACTACAGTACTACAATACTACACTACTATACTACAATACTACGCTACAGTACAGTACTACACTACAATACTACAGTACATTTCTACACTACTATACTACAATACTATACTACACTACAGTACTACACTGCTACAGTACTACACTAATATACGGCAGTACTAAGATAGTACAATACTATACTAAAGTAGTATACGACAGTACTACATTACAGTACCATACTATACTGCAGTACACTACCATACTACAGTACACAGCAGTAGTGTTTGTGGTTCACAGAGTGCTCTGCTGCAGTACACTACCATACTACAGTACTACAGAACACAGCAGTAGTGTTTGTGGTTCAGACTGCTCTGCTGCAGTACACTACCATACTACAGTACTACAGTACACAGCAGTAGTGTTTGTGGTTCAGACTGCTCTGCTGCAGTACACTACCATACTGCAGTACTACAGTACTACAGTTCACAGCAGTAGTGTTTGTGGTTCACAGAGTGCTCTGCTGCAGTACACTACCATACTACAGTACTACAGTATACAGCAGTAGTGTTTGTGGTTCACAGAGGGCTCTGCTGCAGTACACTACCATTCTACAGTACTACCATACTACAGTACTACAGTATACAGCAGTAGTGTTTGTGGTTCACAGAGTGCTCTGCTGCAGTACACTACCATTCTACAGTACTACCATACTACAGTATACAGCAGTAGTGTTTGTGGTTCACAGAGTGCTCTGCTGCAGTACACTACCATACTACAGTACTACAGTATACAGCAGTAGTGTTTGTGGTTCACAGAGTGCTCTGCTGCAGTACACTACCATACTACAGTACTACAGTATACAGCAGTAGTGTTTGTGGTTCACAGAGGGCTCTGCTGCAGTACACTACCATTCTACAGTACTACCATACTACAGTACTACAGTATACAGCAGTAGTGTTTGTGGTTCACAGAGTGCTCTGCTGCAGTACACTACCATACTACAGTACTACAGTATACAGCAGTAGTGTTTGTGGTTCACAGAGTGCTCTGCTGCAGTACACTACCATACTACAGTACTACAGTATACAGCAGTAGTGTTTATGGTTCACAGAGTGCTCTGCTGCAGTACACTACCATACTACAGTACTACAGTATACAGCAGTAGTGTTTGTGGTTCACAGAGTGCTCTGCTGCAGTACACTACCATACTACAGTACTACAGTATACAGCAGTAGTGTTTGTGGTTCACAGAGGGCTCTGCTGCAGTACACTACCATTCTACAGTACTACCATACTACAGTACTACAGTATACAGCAGTAGTGTTTGTGGTTCACAGAGTGCTCTGCTGCAGTACACTACCATTCTACAGTACTACCATACTACAGTATACAGCAGTACTGTTTGTGGTTCACAGAGTGCTCTGCTGCTGGTCTCTGAGGAACATGTTGCGAGGACATGAGGTCATCATCAAACAGGTGAGTCTGCTCCTGACTGAGTATTGTAGTATTCTAATGCACAGATTACTGAGGGTCTCTTTGGCCCCGGGACACGTCCAAAGTGACTGTTTCCTAAAGGGCCCTAAAGAATCTGTGATGGTGTTAAGGAAAGTTTATCCGTATAGCACAGTCCATACAGAGAAACTCCATGTGTAGTGATGACAGTCCCCTCTCTCCTGTCTCTGTCTCTGGCTCCTCTGTCTCCTCTGTCTCCTCTGCCTCTGTCTCTGTCTCCTCTGCCTCTGCCTCTGTCTCCACTGCCTCTGTCTCCTCTGTCTCCTCTGCCTCTGTCTCTGTCTCCTGTCTCCTCTGTCTCTGTCTCCTCTGTCTCCTCTGTCTTCTCTGTCTCTGTCTCCTCTGTATCCTCTGTCTCCTCTGTCTCCTCTGTCTCCTCTGTCTCTATCTCCTCTGTCTTCTCTGTCTCTGTCTCTGTCTCCTCTGTCTCTGTCTCTGTCTCCTCTGTCTCTGTCTCCTCTGTCTCCTCTGTCTCTGTCTCCTCTGTCTCCTCTGTCTTCTCTGTCTCTGTTGTCTCTGCCTCTGTCTCCTGTCTCCTCTGTCTCTGTCTCCTCTGTCTCCTCTGTCTTCTCTGTCTCTGTCTCCTCTGTATCCTCTGTCTCCTCTGTCTCCTCTGTCTCCTCTGTCTCTGTCTCCTCTGTCTTCTCTGTCTCTGTCTCTGTCTCCTCTGTCTCTGTCTCCTCTGTCTCCTCTGTCTTCTCTGTCTCTGTTGTCTCTGCCTCTGTCTCCTGTCTTTGTCTCTGTCTCTGTCTCCTCTGTGTCCTCTATCTCTGTCTCTGTCTCCTCTGTGTCCTCTGTCTCTCTCTCTGTCCCCTCCGTCTCCTCTCCATACTTGTGTTTAATGAGTGTGGCGTGTTTGTTGTTGGCGTGGCCGCAGGGTGATTTTCTGCAGATTGATACGGCTCCTCAGGCTCAAAAGTTCATTATTTTCACACTTTAAGCGATCGTTAATTATTGAGGCCAGTGGCAGTTCCATTAATCAAAAGCATGTGTTTGATCTGAATGGCTGCGCACGCTTCATAATGGAGCGGTCTGAGAGCACACACTCAAATGGTCTTTTCGTTCACCTGAGCAGTCGGAAAGTGCTTCATCTACAATTCAACTGTTTACACCATTTTAATGAAAACATATTCTGTCTGCGGCGTCTTTCATATTACCACAATATTCTGAACCCGAGCAGATTTTTATGTAGCTCCATTCATAGCCAGAGAGAGACCAGAGAGAGAGAGACCAGAGAGACCAGAGAGAGAGAGACCAGAGAGAGAGACCAGAGAGAGAGAGACCAGAGAGAGAGAGACCAGAGAGAGAGACCAGAGAGAGAGACCAGAGAGAGACCAGAAAGAGACCAGAAAGAGACCAGAAAGAGTCCAGAGAGAGAGTCCAGAGAGAGAGTCCAGAGAGAGAGTCCAGAGAGAGAGTCCAGAGAGAGAGTCCAGAGAGAGAGTCCAGAGAGAGAGTCCAGAGAGAGAGAGTCCAGAGAGAGAGAGTCCAGAGAGAGAGAGTCCAGAGAGAGAGAGTCCAGAGAGAGAGAGTCCAGAGAGAGAGAGTCCAGAGAGAGAGAGGCCAGAGAGAGAGAGTCCAGAGAGAGAGAGGCCAGAGAGAGAGAGTCCAGAGAGAGAGAGGCCAGAGAGAGAGAGGCCAGAGAGAGAGAGGCCAGAGAGAGAGAGGCCAGAGAGAGAGAGGCCAGAGAGAGAGAGGCCAGAGAGAGAGAGGCCAGAGAGAGAGAGGCCAGAGAGAGAGAGGCCAGAGAGAGAGAGGCCAGAGAGAGAGAGGCCAGAGAGAGAGAGGCCAGAGAGAGAGAGGCCAGAGAGAGAGAGGCCAGAGAGAGGCCAGAGAGAGGCCAGAGAGAGGCCAGAGAGAGGCCAGAGAGAGGCCAGAGAGAGGCCAGAGAGAGGCCAGAGAGAGGCCAGAGAGAGGCCAGAGAGAGGCCAGAGAGAGGCCAAAGGGACCAAAGGGAGAGACCAGAGAGAGAGGCCAGAGAGAGGCCAGAGAGAGGCCAGAGAGAGGCCAGAGAGAGGGCCAGTGAGAGGCCAAAGGGACCAAAGGGAGAGACCAGAGAGAGAGGCCAGAGAGAGGCCAGAGAGAGGCCAGAGAGAGGCCAGAGAGAGGCCAGAGAGAGAGACCAGAGAGAGAGAGACCACAGAATAGCATACAGTATCTGCTCTTCTAGTTCTTGGGATAATGTCATGTAAAAGTCTGTTTTTGTGCAGAGGCTGCTGCAGTCCTCAGACCTGGGCTCCTTCCTGCTGGAGATGAAGACAGTTCTGGTGAGAGTCCGGGTCGCGCTGACACTAGGATTCACACTCTCACACATCCCAATGAGAGCGCAGCAGACGCACAACAGAGGCTGTGAGCAGAGCGAGCCCACACGGTCACCATAACACCACAGGGAGAGAGTCATTACCACACTCCGCATCGCACACAGACGCCAAATTCAAGAAAAGTTTAGCAGAAATCTTTTAACACATGCTTCTGTAGTGATCATCTCTGACGTCAGTGGATCATTGTATTTTTAATTCGTTATAAATCTCTCTAAAGACTCTATTTAAAGCTGAGGTACGAAACTGTGTCTCTGAGGTTGTGTGCTCTCTCTTCAGGAGGTGTCTTTTTGTGTGTCTGTGTGTCTGAGGTTGTGTGCTCTCTCTTCAGGAGGTGTCTTTTTGTGTGTCTGTGTGTCTGAGGTTGTGTGCTCTCTCTTCAGGAGGTGTCTTTTTTGTGTCTGTTTCTCTGTGTCTGTGTGTCTGAGGTTGTGTGCTCTCTCTTAAGGAGGTGTGTGTGTGTGTTTCTGAGGTTGTGTGCTCTCTCTTCAGGAGATGTCTTTTTGTGTGTGTTTGTGTGTGTGTGTCTCTGAGGTTGTGTGCTCTCTCTTCAGGAGATGTCTTTTTGTGTGTGTTTGTGTGTGTGTGTTTCTGAGGTTGTGTGCTCTCTTCAGGAGATGTCTTTTTGTGTGTGTTTGTGTGTGTGTGTGTGTGTGTGTGTCTCTGAGGTTGTGTACTTTCTCTCCAGGAGGTGTCTCTGTCTCTGGGGTTGTGTGCTCTCTCTTCAGGAGGTGTCTTTTTGTGTGTGTCTGTGTGTCTGAGGTTGTGTGCTCTCTCTTCAGGAGGTGTCTTTGTGTGTGTGTGTGTATCTCTGAGGTTGTGTGCTCTCTTTCAGGAGGTCTGTGTGTGTGTTTCTGAGGTTGTGTGCTCTCTCTTCAGGAGGTGTGTGTGTGTGTTTCTGAGGTTGTGTGCTCTCTCTTGAGGAGGTGTTTGTGTGTGTTTCTGAGGTTGTGTGCTCTCTCTTCAGGAGGTGTGTGTGTGTGTTTCTGAGGTTGTGTGCTCTCTCTTCAGGAGGTGTTTGTGTGTGTTTCTGAGGTTGTGTGCTCTCTCTTCAGAAGGTGTGTGTGTGTGTTTCTGAGGTTGTGTGCTCTCTTTCAGGAGGTGTGTATGTGTGTTTCTGAGGTTGTGTGCTCTCTCTTCAGGAGGTGTTTGTGTGTGTTTCTGAGGTTGTGTGCTCTCTCTTCAGGAGGTGTGTGTGTGTGTGTGTGTTTCTGAGGTTGTGTGCTCTCTCTTCAGGAGGTGTCTGTGTGTGTTTCTGAGGTTGTGTGCTCTCTCTTCAGGAGGTGTGTGTGTGTGTTTCTGAGGTTGTGTGCTCTCTCTTCAGGAGGTGTGTGTGTTTCTGAGGTTGTGTGCTCTCTCTTCAGGAGGTGTTTGTGTGTGTTTCTGAGGTTGTGTGCTCTCTCTTCAGAAGGTGTGTGTGTTTCTGAGGTTGTGTGCTCTCTCTTCAGGAGGTCTTTGTGTGTGTTTCTGAGGTTGTGTGCTCTCTCTTCAGGAGGTGTGTGTATGTGTTTCTGAGGTTGTGTGCTCTCTCTTCAGGTGGTGTTTGTGTGTGTTTCTGAGGTTGTGTGCTCTCTCTTCAGGAGGTGTGTGTGTGTGTGTGTGTTTCTGAGGTTGTGTGCTCTCTCTTCAGGAGGTGTCTGTGTGTGTTTCTGAGGTTGTGTGCTCTCTCTTCAGGAGGTGTGTGTGTGTGTTTCTGAGGTTGTGTGCTCTCTCTTCAGGAGGTGTGTGTGTTTCTGAGGTTGTGTGCTCTCTCTTCAGGAGGTGTTTGTGTGTGTTTCTGAGGTTGTGTGCTCTCTCTTCAGAAGGTGTGTGTGTTTCTGAGGTTGTGTGCTCTCTCTTCAGGAGGTCTTTGTGTGTGTTTCTGAGGTTGTGTGCTCTCTCTTCAGGAGGTGTGTGTATGTGTTTCTGAGGTTGTGTGCTCTCTCTTCAGGTGGTGTTTGTGTGTGTTTTTCTGAGGTTGCGTGCTCTCTCTTCAGGAGGTGTGTGTGTGTGTGTTTCTGAGGTTGTGTGCTCTCTCTTCAGGAGGTGTTTGTGTGTGTTTCTGAGGTTGTGTGCTCTCTCTTCAGGAGGTGTGTGTGTGTGTTTCCGAGGTTGTGTGCTCTCTCTTCAGGAGGTGTGTGTGTGTGTTTCTGAGGTTGTGTGCTCTCTCTTCAGGAGGTGTTTGTGTGTGTTTCTGAGGTTGTGTGCTCTCTCTTCAGGAGGTGTGTGTGTGTGTGTTTCTGAGGTTGTGTGCTCTCTCTTCAGGAGGTGTGTGTGTGTGTGTGTTTTCTGAGGTTGTGTGCTCTCTCTTCAGGAGGTGTTTGTGTGTGTTTCTGAGGTTGTGTGCTCTCCCTTCAGGAGGTGTGTGTGTGTGTTTCCGAGGTTGTGTGCTCTCTCTTCAGGAGGTGTGTGTGTGTGTTTCTGAGGTTGTGTGCTGTCTCTTCAGGAGGTGTGTGTGTGTGTGTTTCTGAGGTTGTGTGCTCTCTCTTCAGGAGGTGTGTGTGTGTATGTTTCTGAGGTTGTGTGCTCTCTCTTCAGGAGGTGTTTGTGTGTGTTTCTGAGGTTGTGTGCGCTCTCTTCAGGAGGTGTGTGTGTGTGTTTCTGAGGTTGTGTGCTCTCTCTTCAGGAGGTGTGTGTGTGTGTTTCCGAGGTTGTGTGCTCTCTCTTCAGGAGGTGTGTGTGTGTGTTTCCGAGGTTGTGTGCTCTCTCTTCAGGAGGTGTGTGTGTGTGTTTCTGAGGTTGTGTGCTGTCTCTTCAGGAGGTGTGTGTGTGTGTGTTTCTGAGGTTGTGTGCTCTCTCTTCAGGAGGTGTGTGTGTGTATGTTTCTGAGGTTGTGTGCTCTCTCTTCAGGAGGTGTTTGTGTGTGTTTCTGAGGTTGTGTGCTCTCTCTTCAGGAGGTGTTTGTGTGTTTCTGAGGTTGTGTGCTCTCTCTTCAGGAGGTGTTTGTGTGTGTTTCTGAGGTTGTGTGCTCTCTCTTCAGGAGGTGTTTGTGTTTGTTTCTGAGGTTGTGTGCTCTCTCTTCAGGAGGTGTGTGTGTGTGTGTGTTTCTGAGGTTGTGTGCTCTCTCTTCAGGAGGTGTGTGTGTGTGTTTCTGAGGTTGTGTGCTCTCTCTTCAGGAGGTGTGTATGTTTCTGAGGTTGTGTGCTCTCTCTTCAGGAGGTGTGTGTGTGTGTGTGTTTCTGAGGTTGTGTGCTCTCTCTTCAGAAGGTGTGTGTGTTTCTGAGGTTGTGTGCTCTCTCTTCAGGAGGTTTTTGTGTGTGTTTCTGAGGTTGTGTGCTCTCTCTTCAGGAGGTGTGTGTATGTGTTTCTGAGGTTGTGTGCTCTCTTCAGGAGGTGTGTGTGTGTGTTTCTGAGGTTGTGTGCTCTCTCTTCAGGTGGTGTTTGTGTGTGTTTTTCTGAGGTTGTGTGCTCTCTCTTCAGGAGGTGTGTGTGTGTGTGTGTTTCTGAGGTTGTGTGCTCTCTCTTCAGGAGGTGTGTGTGTGTGTGTGTGTTTCTGAGGTTGTGTGCTCTCTCTTCAGGAGGTGTGTGTGTGTGTGTGTTTCTGAGGTTGTGTGCTCTCTCTTCAGGAGGTCTTTGTGTGTGTTTCTGAGGTTGTGTGCTCTCTCTTCAGGAGGTGTGTGTGTGTGTTTCTGAGGTTGTGTGCTCTCTCTTCAGGAGGTGTGTGTGTGTGTGTGTGTTTCTGAGGTTGTGTGCTCTCTCTTCAGGAGGTGTGTGTGCAGAATCGTCCAGAGCCTCTCTCTATCCCCAGGCCTCAGTCGTACTCGGACCTTCTCTCTGAGCTGGAGACCCTCGGCTGGGACAAGTCAGTCACACTCTGCACCACACAACACTTCACTGTTAGTGGTCAGAGAGAAAGAGAGAGACCAGAGAGAGAGAGAGCAGAGAGGGAGACCAGAGAGAGAGGGAGACCAGAGAGAGAGAGAGACCAGAGAGAGAGAGAGACCAGAGAGAGAGAGAGACCAGAGAGAGAGAGAGAGCAGAGAGAGAGAGACCAGAGAGGGAGACCAGAGAGAGACCAGAGAGAGAGAGACACCAGAGAGAGAGAGAGCAGAGAGGGAGACCAGAGAGAGAGGGAGACCAGAGAGAGAGAGAGACCAGAGAGAGAGAGAGACCAGAGAGAGAGAGACACCAGAGAGAGAGAGAGAGCAGAGAGAGAGAGACCAGAGAGGGAGACCAGAGAGAGACCAGAGAGAGAGAGACACCAGAGAGAGAGAGAGCAGAGAGAGAGAGACCAGAGAGGGAGACCAGAGAGAGGGAGACCGGAGAGAGGGAGACCGGAGAGAGGGAGACCGGAGAGAGGGAGACCAGAGAGGGAGACCAGAGAGGGAGACCAGAGAGGGAGACCAGAGAGGGAGACCAGAGAGGGAGACCAGAGAGGGAGACCAGAGAGGGAGACCAGAGAGGGAGACCAGAGAGGGAGACCAGAGAGGGAGACCAGAGAGGGAGACCAGAGAGGGAGACCAGAGAAAGAGACCAGAGAAAGAGACCAGAGAAAGAGACCAGAGAAAGAGACCAGAGAAAGAGACCAGAGAAAGAGACCAGAGAAAGAGACCAGAGAAAGAGACCAGAGAAAGAGACCAGAGAAAGAGACCAGAGAAAGAGACCAGAGAAAGAGACCAGAGAAAGAGAGACCAGAGAAAGAGAGACCAGAGAAAGAGAGACCAGAGAAAGAGAGACCAGAGAAAGAGAGACCAGAGAAAGAGAGACCAGAGAAAGAGAGACCAGAGAAAGAGAGACCAGAGAAAGAGAGACCAGAGAAAGAGAGACCAGAGAGATTAAATGGAGACATGAGAGAGAGAGAGAGAGAGACCAGACCACAGCTGAGGCTTCGCACCGGGGCGGCCATTTTGGCTCAGTTGCACTTGACCTCATTCCTCCGATAATTATCAACCACACACACACCAATTAGCTGACCGCAGAGAGGACGGACCAATCAGAGCTCACGACCGCAGCTCAAGTCCCCGAAGGCTATTAGCAACGTCCCAAAGCAATTAGTCGAACTGGGAGACGAATGCTTTGGTTTGTTTGCCTTTGTGCTGTTCGTGTTTGTACAAGGTGCAGTCAAAAGGGAACATGTTTGTGTCCTAAAGCTGGGGTACGTAACTTTCAAATCCCAACAATAGAACACAGTAATCAAATCCATGTCTCTAGTTCCTGGCTCTGAAACCGTTTAATTCTATCACTAATTTCTTTATTTTTTGGACAGAAATGTGAAAAAGATAGAGACGAGAGAGAGAGGCCAGAGAGGGAGGCCAGAGAGAGAGAGGCCAGAGAGGGAGGCCAGAGAAGGAGGCCAGAGAGAGAGACCAGAGAGAGAGAGACCAGAGAGAGAGAGGCCAGAGAGAGACAGGCCAGAGAGATAGAGGCCAGAGAGAGAGAGACCAGAGAGAGAGACCAGAGAGAGAGAGGCCAGAGAGAGAGGCCAGAGAGATAGAGGCCAGAGAGAGACAGGCCAGAGAGAGAGAGGCCAGAGAGAGAGGCCAGAGAGAGAGAGGCCAGAGAGAGAGGCCAGAGAGAGAGAGAGACCAGAGAGAGAGAGACCAGAGAGAGAGAGGCCAGAGAGAGAGAGGCCAGAGAGAGAGAGGCCAGAGAGAGAGAGGCCAGAGAGAGAGGCCAGAGAGAGAGGCCAGAGAGAGAGAGGCCAGAGAGAGAGGCCAGAGAGAGAGGCCAGAGAGAGAGAGGCCAGAGAGAGAGAGGCCAGAGAGAGAGGCCAGAGAGAGAGAGGCCAGAGAGAAGAGAGAGGCCAGAGAGAGAGAGGCCAGAGAGAGAGAGGCCAGAGAGAGAGAGGCCAGAGAGAGAGAGGCCAGAGAGGGAGGCCAGAGAGGGAGGCCAGAGAGGGAGGCCAGAGAGGGAGGCCAGAGAGAGAGAGGCCAGAGAGAGAGAGGCCAGAGAGAGAGAGGCCAGAGAGAGAGAGGCCAGAGAGAGAGAGGCCAGAGAGAGAGAGACCAGAGAGAGAGAGGCCAGAGAGAGAGAGGCCAGAGAGGGAGGCCAGAGAGAGAGAGGCCAGAGAGGGAGGCCAGAGAGAGAGAGGCCAGAGAGGGGGAGGCCAGAGAGGGGGAGGCCAGAGAGAGAGAGGCCAGAGAGAGAGAGGCCAGAGAGAGAGGCCAGAGAGAGAGAGGCCAGAGAGAGAGAGGCCAGAGAGAGAGAGGCCAGAGAGAGAGAGACCAGAGAGGGAGGCCAGAGAGAGACCAGAGAGAGGGAGACCAGAGAGAGAGAGAGAGACCAGAGAGAGAGAGACCAGAGAGAGAGAGACCAGAGAGAGAGAGGCCAGAGAGATAGAGGCCAGAGAGAGAGAGGCCAGAGAGAGAGAGGCCAGAGAGAGAGAGACCAGAGAGAGAGAGGCCAGAGAGAGAGGCCAGAGAGCGAGAGACCAGAGAGGGAGGCCAGAGAGAGACCAGAGAGAGAGAGGCCAGAGAGAGAGAGAGACCAGAGAGAGAGAGGCCAGAGAGAGAGAGGCCAGAGAGAGAGAGGCCAGAGAGATAGAGGCCAGAGAGAGAGGCCAGAGAGAGAGAGGCCAGAGAGCGAGAGACCAGAGAGGGAGGCCAGAGAGAGACCAGAGAGAGAGAGGCCAGAGAGAGAGAGACCAGAGAGAGAGAGGCCAGAGAGAGAGAGGCCAGAGAGATAGAGGCCAGAGAGGGAGGCCAGAGAGAGAGAGGCCAGAGAGAGGGAGGCCAGAGAGAGAGAGGCCAGAGAGGGGGAGGCCAGAGAGAGGCCAGAGAGCGAGAGGCCAGAGAGAGAGAGAGACCAGAGAGAGAGAGGCCAGAGAGAGAGAGGCCAGAGAGGGGGAGGCCAGAGAGAGGCCAGAGAGCGAGAGGCCAGAGAGAGAGAGAGACCAGAGAGAGAGAGGCCAGAGAGAGGGAGGCCAGAGAGAGGGAGGCCAGAGAGAGAGAGGCCAGAGAGGGAGGCCAGAGAGAGAGAGACCAGAGAGAGAGAGGCCAGAGAGAGAGAGGCCAGAGAGATAGAGGCCAGAGAGGGAGGCCAGAGAGAGGGAGGCCAGAGAGAGAGAGGCCAGAGAGGGGGAGGCCAGAGAGAGGCCAGAGAGCGAGAGGCCAGAGAGAGAGAGAGACCAGAGAGAGAGAGGCCAGAGAGAGAGAGGCCAGAGAGAGGGAGGCCAGAGAGAGAGAGGCCAGAGAGGGGGAGGCCAGAGAGAGGCCAGAGAGCGAGAGGCCAGAGAGAGAGAGAGACCAGAGAGAGAGAGGCCAGAGAGAGGGAGGCCAGAGAGAGGGAGGCCAGAGAGAGAGAGGCCAGAGAGGGAGGCCAGAGAGAGGGAGGCCAGAGAGAGAGAGGCCAGAGAGAGAGAGGCCAGAGAGAGGGAGACCAGAGAGAGGGAGACCAGAGAGAGGGAGACCAGAGAGAGGGAGACCAGAGAGAGGGAGACCAGAGAGAGGGAGACCAGAGAGAGAGAGACCAGAGAGAGAAGAGTAATTTTACAGAGAGAGACCAGTTTGTTTTCACATTAATTTATTTTTTCTCTGTCACATTTTTAAAGACATTTTTTCAGACAGAAAAGGGAGGACCCCGCTCTCTCAGCCAATCAGCTCTCAGTCCACAGTGACAATAGTGACTTTCTTACACAAAAGATGTTTTCTAATGAGATAAGGGACAGCATGTTTTACTTTAAGACTTTCTTTTCAAACTGTGTGGTTTATGAGATTATATTTAACAGCTCTAACATTTCTTTGATTTGTATTATCCACATTTTCTGTTTGAAAAGTGAAAAGTGGTTTCTCACAGATTCTCAATGAATCTCTCTCCCTCCGCGGAGACAAGAGCGACCGTTCGAAGCCTCATTACTCTGACGGCGCGCTGCTGTTTGAGCCATAATTCAGTTTAATATAATTGAGTTTTCTCTCAGCGGGAGAGAGACCGGAGAGAGACCACGGAGAGTCAAAAGAAAGGCCAGAGAAAGACCAGAGAGAGAGAGAGAGAGACCAGAAAGAGACCAGAGAGAGAGAGACCAGAAAGAGAGACCAGAGAGAGAGACCAGAGAGAGACCAGAAAGAGACCAGAAAGAGAGACCAGAAAGAGACCAGAGAGAGAGACCAGAAAGAGACCAGAGAGAGAGACCAGAAAGAGACCAAAGAGAAAGAGACCAGAAAGAGACCAGAGAGAGAGAGACCAGAAAGAGACCAAAGAGAGAGAGACCAGAAAGAGACCAAACAGAGAGAGACCAGAAAGAGACCAAAGAGAGAGAGACCAGAAAGAGACCAAAGAGAGAGAGACCAGAGATCTCTCTGGTCTCTCTCTTAAGATTTGTTTTTATGTGAACACAAAATAGATTCTTTATATCTGAATCCGTGATAGGAACTATCTGAGGCTCTGTCCCATGCTTGTCACCTCCAGGCCTTTCTCTGTGGATGTTCTCCTTGTGTATGTGTAGGTTTCCTCCAGGTGTTCCGGTTTTCCTTGCCACTAAAAACAAACGACAGGTCTGGCACGATCCTCCTGTATGACAACCCAGCTCCCATTTCCGTGTGGAAGAGACAAATGTAAAGCGCTTTGTAACCCTGGTCTGTGAAAGGCACTATTTAAAATGCACGATTCATTTAAATAAAGTAGCCCTGAAGTCATTTGGTCGTCTTTAAAACTGCTGATCCCTGGTCAACGTCGTCATAAATGAACCGTGCCGTCTCAGCGTGCTGCCATTTTGAATGAGACCCGAGCAAGACACTAGAACGCCAGTGGCGGTATCAAGCCAGCTCCCATGCTGTGTGTCCATGGGCAAGACACTCCACCCCTCCCCCCGTGTCTGCATACACTGGTGTGTGAGTGGGTGGTTGGTTCCTTGATGTGAAGGCTTTG